GCAAAATGTGCGCGCAGTAAATGTCTTACGGTGAAAGGCTGCATCACCATATTATGGTGGAGATTTTCTCCGTAATATAAACAAAATTCGTCAAAATATCTATAAGATACAGTGGATTCTCAATGGTATGTTATAAAGTCAGCTGCACCACCATAATATGGAACATTCACCATAATATGGAGAATCTTCACAACACAACATTTAGAGCGCGGGTCAGAACATTGTACGACAAACTTCAGGCAGGGCAGACCGAGGCTGACCCCTGTCCAAGGACCTTCACAAAGCTAAGGACTTGGTCTCTCGTCATTTTTCGGAGGGGCGACGCCGCGAAGAGGAGGAGGAGGAGTGGGGGGAGGAGGGGACTCCGGCAATAGGGCCTGCCCTTGCGAATAGCCAGTCCAGTTTTGGCCAAATCGTGATTCGGCTGCCGAGCGCGCCGAGGGCCGAGCGGGGCTGAGCCGATCACGCGCGAGTTGGGCAATAATGAAGCGATGAGAGAGAGAGAGAGAGAGAGAGAGAGAGAGAGAGAGAGAGAGAGAGAGAGAGAGAGAGAGAGAGAGAGAGAGAGAGAGAGAGAGAGAGAAACGGAAAGGCCGCACGCGTCTTGTATTTATCATCGGTTTGGAAACGGCATTTAGAGACCTTCTCGGTTTTGTTTCTGTCGGCCGAGAGCGTTGCAGGCGTGCGACCTGGGATTCCTCCAAAACAAACCGGCACTCAACGTGGCTTTGAAACAGAAAATTTATAAATTTGCATGTAAATTATAATAGTTTTGGATAGAAACTTAATTTTACTTTCTTCCGTCTTTCGACCTCCTCTGTCACGACGGCTCGCCAGTCGGGCCAGCCTGATGATTCCAACCCGCTCTGCATCTCGAAGTTTTCCGAGTGTCTCCCTCCTCTCTCTCTCTCTCTCTCTCTCTCTCTCTCTCTCTCTCTCTCTCTCTCTCTCTTCTCTCTCTCTCTCTCTCTCTCTCTTCTTGCATGCATGGGGTGACCCGTAAGAGCGCGAGAGAGACAAAGCGCTGTTCAGAACCAGCAGACGTCTGATTCCGGAGTCGTTTTCATCGCCTTGTCTCTCTCGCACCCGTTCAAAACTCCCATGAGTGCGAGGGAGATAGAGCAACGAAAGCGACTCTCGGAATCAGACTGCAGCCGGCCGTCCGCTCTTTGTCGCTCCGGTGAGAACGCGGCAATTGAGACACTGTAATGAACACAGTGGCCGCGGGAGGCTCGTCGAGAGGTACGTCGCGGCAGCGGCAAGGCACCAGAGACTGATTCCGAGGGTCGTTTTCGTCGCTCTGTCTCTCTCGCACCTCACGGGACGCCCCGTGAGTGCAAGAAAGACAGAGCGACGAAAACGACTCTCGGAATCAGTCTGCAGGGCGTGGCACTTACCTCGTCAGATTAGCCAATTAGCGCACAGACAAACGTCCCGCGCGTGCCCGCGCCAGCTGCCAGAGATGGCATGACTCGGTTCCGTCGCTGAGCTTCACGAGTCGACTTGGCAAGGCGGCTTCGAATCCCGGCAGAGGCAATCATTTTTTTCGTTGTAAATGACTGTTTGTAACCGCGCAAAAGCAAGCGCTTGTTCCATACAGACGGCCGAACATCTAGCGGCTGCCACAGCAAAAAAAAATCCCTCAAAAAAATGATGGCGGTGCCGGGACTCGAAGGTGGTCAACAGTTCTTGTAGATCCAATGGCTATGAAGCCAACGGTTCGGATCGGTTCCAAGTGGCTTTGGTCGCGGCAGCTATCGGTTCGAGCCAGAACTGTCCATTGCAGACCTCTGCCTCTGCCGCGCCTCAACCGTCACCCTGTCTATCTCTCTCTCTGGCTGTCTCACACTCTTTTGTTAAATAACGTATGGACGTTTGGGCGCATTAGTAAGCATATTAACATTTTTGTTTGTTTTCGAAACAGCCGTATGCACAGTGGACCATAGAAGACCGGCGGAGGCGGTGAAAATCTTGGACGCGCTTTAAACTCCAGAGGCAGGCGCGGATCCAAGGGGGGGGGCGATGGGGGCGTCGCCCCCGCCCCTGAGGCGACGAAGCCGCCTGAAAACGCGTCTAGGTCAAAGTCGCACGCACTTACCCCTGTGCGTAGGCACTTTCGCGCAACGCAGTCGGCCCCGCAGCCGGCGATTATTGGTGAACTCGTCGGCCTGAATCCGCGATTGGCTCATTAGCAGTTCGTAATGCGGTAACTCGAAAACGAACGTTGTCGATCAACGACCAACCATTATGGATTGCTTCCGAACAGGAAATCCTAATATGGATGGCGGTGCACTCGAGTTCAGACAGGTTCGTGTAACTCCAACTCGCTAGAAGAACAGGATGGTCAGAATATCGCGTATGAGAGTTCTGTCCGCCGCCACCGGCCTTCTGGCACACTGTGCGCCGCCGGCTTCTTTCTGCCGTTTGCATATCGCAAGCGGCATTCTCCGCGGCCGCCGACGTGTGACGTTCGACGCGGACCTCGCGAACGTCGTGCGACTAGACGGCCACCGCGGCGTGGCGGCACCCTGACCGGCCACCCTGACCCGTCCCGGACCACACGATACACTGTTCACTGCAAAGCCCGCGGTGAGAAGTTTGCTTGCCCTACCACATTGGCAAAGCCGGATTTTTCATCGAACTCCCTGTCGTCGCACAGTGGACCGGAAGGCCGGTGGAGGCGGCCAAAATTCTCGACGCGTTTTGAGCTTCAGAGTCACTAAGTGGGACTCGAACCGAGCGTGTGACCCCACCAACGGTTTCCTCGTCCGGAGCGCAATCCATTGGTGGGGTCACACGTTCGGTTCGAGTCCCATGTAGCGATTCAGGAGCTCAAAACGCGTCTAGAGTTTTGGCCGCCTCCACCCGTCTTCTGGCCCACTGAACGTCAGGTAGCTTGAGGTGCGGCCGCGCTGGTCCACGAAGCGTCACGGCGACACGGCGCTGGGGAACCTTTCCACGCTGCCTCTTTTGCCGTCTTTTGCGTGCACTCGGCGCCCTTGCCCTGGAGGAGGCACAGTCGCAAGAGAGAGAGAGGGGGGGGGGGGGGCACGCGACCCGCACCGTTAGCGACTTGGATCACAGACAAACCGAACATTACTTTCGACGCTCTGTCTCTCCCTCTCTCTCTCTCTCTCTCTCTCTCTCTCTCTCTCTCTCTCTCTCTCTCTCTCTCTCTCTCATGGGCGTGAGAGAGACAAAGCGACGAAACAGCGTCCGGAATCTCAGAAAATGAGTGGCAACTGAAACTACTAATAGTGAAAATTGAGTCGAAATTCTTAACTTCTAGGTTGAAGGATGAGTAATTTGTCCGATTCGTTTTCGAAGACTTCGACTTTCGAGCCATACTCTTTCGACTTGAGGGCGTCAAGCTCACCACAACTCAAGGGCTTTCATAGTCCTCGTAACTTAGTTATAACACTGTTGTTAAAACGGGCGTGGCTCGAACAGTTTCGGGTCACCTTGGCCTGCCTTGGCTCACACACATTAGATCGGCACTGCGGCTACACACTCGTATGCGGCTTCACACGGTCCTCCCCCGCTGCCAGACTTTTTCCACACACGCGCGCGCACACACACACACACACACACACACACACACACACACACACATGCATGCGCGCTGCAGCAACCACACTGAACCGCGCCGCCGAGACAGTTAGGCAAGCCCGTGTGTCCGAAGCCGCTGCGTGCGCGCGCGTGTGTTTGTGTGCATGAGTACGTGCGCGCGCGCGCGTGCGCGGGCCTCACGGTTGCAGTAAAGTATGAAAATGTGCCGCCAAATCGATTCATCACGGTCGGGGCGACGCCAGTTCCCAGGCTCTGTCGTCGTGCAACGCGCTGCCGCGGGTCGGCTGGAATCTAGGGCTGGTTAGTTTCATGGACCGCCACCCGCATCACGACTGCCACTGTCACACTCGTCACCCGTGCTCCCGCGACCGCGACTCCCGCTGCTAACGCGACACTTTCGACTCCCGATTTGTTGATTAATACTAACTTATGTCTTAATGGAAGGAAAAAAGTTTCAAGTCTGGAAGGAAAAAAGTTTCAAGTCTTTGAAAAAGAAAAAAAAACTAGAAAAGGGTTTAGCCTCTTTTCTGGGTGAACAAGACGATGCTGTGCGGTCCAGCCGACGCTTCTTCATGTCTACTTTCGGCACTGCCGCACTCTCAGACTCGTACTGAGTTTTTTGATTATATTGACGTTTTTGCACACCAATAAGCGTATTAACATTTTCATTTGCATTAAAAACATTATTATCAATGTCGTTTTGACAAATCTGTGAAGCTTTTTAACGAATTTCTATTAATGCGCAGAAACGTCCTTGGATATTGACGAAATTTATGGATGAGGCATTTGACCAACCACCGCTAAAAGCTTCCTTTACAGACTAGACCTTGACCTGAAATAGTTTGGGTCACAAATGGTCATCTACTTTTTGGGTACTGAGAGAACATCCCCTGCTCCAATAAAAATCATCGTCTGACATAGTCTCAAAGGAAGTACAAAAGTAAATATGGTTGCAGGCACATATCAATAATTAATTAATCAATCAATTAATCAATCAGTTCGACAAATTTGGTAATGAAAACAGAGTTTTCTAAACAGAACGACAGAATATTTGGCTGACATGAAAGTGGTCTCGGCGGCCATGTGGTCGACGCCAGACACACGGCGTTTCCACCCTCTCCTCAGTTCAATTGAAATCATGCCATTTCACAGTGAATCAATCTCTTCAGACACGACGCACGCAAAATTTTAGCACTCGGACGACTGTGGTAGACGTCTGCACGGTTTGACAATTCTAGAATTTTCCACGCTCAACCGGGGCTTCATGTCTTCACTCACGTATCCACAGGACGGAACATTGGCACTTCCGCTGTAGCGCACAGAATTCACTGGATGCACTCGATTAGCCAAATACGTCACACCAACACACCAACGCACCAACACACCCCCCCCCCCCCCCACACACACACACACGTGACGCACGGACGCACCTTGAGGGGGTCCATGCTGAGAGTCTTGAGGGAGGTCCTGCCGGACTGCGCGTGGGGCTGCGCAGCACCGTCTTTTAAAACTTCGCCAGCCCCCCTTCCCATCCCCCCCTCCCCTCCCCGCCGCCAAGGCTCTGCCGGCTCCAGCGCGCCGCCGGCTCCAGCAGACTGTTCGGAACACCGTTTGGATGCTCCGTCTCTCTCGCACTCGCGGTGCGACCCGCAGGGGTGCGAGAGAGACGGAGGCTCCAGGGGCAGCGCGCCGGGCCGTCAATGGGAACCTGCACTGTTCGGGATTATTTTGTGAAATTACGACTAGTTGTCTGTTAAATATGTACCACGAACTGCTCGTAAATTTCAAAAACGATCTGATCATCCAACTTTTTTTCGTCAATTTACAAAAATATTCTTAAACTTACAAACTTAATCCTCAAATTTTGGTCGTTTCAGGCATTTTTTCTTCCCATATTAGTAAGGAAACAACGGACGAAAACGCATTTTTCAGACTTGCTTTTACAATCATACTTGTAAATTTACAATTTCACCTGTAAAATTAAGAAGCAGTTTGTAAAATGATGAACAGTTTGTAAAATGATGAACAGTTTGTAAAATGATGAACAGTTTGTAAAATGATGAACAGTTTGTAAAATGATGAACAGTTTGTCAATTTACAATTTACTTTGTAAAAAAACAGTGCAGTTCGTGGTACAGATTTAACAGGCAACTATTCATAAAAGTGAGCTTGGTTAGTAAGAAAACAAGTATACGCGTGAATAGTCGTAAGATAATGATTTTAGCAGTAAAACTACGATCTTTCGTCAGTAACATTAAGATTTCATCGTAAAATTACGAATTTATTCCTAAATTTATGAGTAAAGTTTGTCGAAAATATGACAATTGTTCATTCCATGAATCTTGTAGTTATTTTACGAATTATTCTTTGTAAAATTACAACACTAATTGTTGGGATTACTGTTGTAAAATAACGACTTTTCTTAACAGTGTGCTTCACATGCGGCCGGAGCGGCCAGCAGGGCGAGAGTCGTTTTCGTCGCTCCGTCTCGCTCGCACTCATGGGGCTTACCCTATGGGCGCGACACGGGCACGAGCAACTTTCGGATCAGCCTGCAGGGGCACTGGGTGAGGGTAATCGTACCGAGGGGAAAGGGGGGGGGCGAGGGGCTGTCTGGATGGTGTGCACTTTGGGAGCCTAGCCCAGCCTGATGCGTGCGTGCGTACACATGACGTGCGCACGCATCTTGTGCCACGTGAGAAGAGAAAAGTGATTTTGAAAACGTTTCCTGTTGTTTAGTTTCTTTCTGCGGGAGATTGATATTCCCTGTACTGTGAAGTAGTCGATAACTAGATTTGTAATTTTGAAGTTGGATCACGGACAGTTCATACTTGAATGGGCTCAAATTTCACGATTTCATTTAGGGTGGATTCTCTTAGGAGTGAGCAATGAAAGGCGAAACGCATTGGATTAAAAATAGAAGTAAAGCATGCACAAATTTATCAACAAGCGACAATTTTAATGGTGGCCATTCATAAATAATTTTTTAAAAAATCAATGTTGTGAGCCAGGCTTAATTTTGGAAAAGCAATTTGCGTTCAATTTTTGAACAATCTGTTTTACGGGACGTGTAGCTGACTATAAACCAAGCACAGTGATCTTTTTTCTCAAAATTCGAATTTTAGACCGAGGGAGCCAATATGATATCTTGAGCAAGCGAAAATTGCCGCACCGTCTCCCAGATGCAAATTCAAAGTTTAAGTGTTGATAAATTCTGATGTCAAGACCCCGTGGCGTGAACTCCGCGCTAGAGCTCATAGGTGTGTTCAGGCGTGGAAGCGAATCGACTGTGAGATTTTGAGTGCCTTATTTCTCGCCCTCATCGCGTATGCTCGACGCTTGTGTCGAAAATAGCCGCCGAGCGCGCCGCGCCGGGTGCGGTATGGCCGTGGTGTGGCGGCGTGGCGCATGATGTGTGAATTGTTTTTTTCTATCCCGCCAGAAATGGCATCCAGACCCGCCGTTAAAAAGGGGGCACTAGTCCAGCGGGGTTCGCGTTGCTGCAGCGGGTCGGCAGTGCATTCTGCGACCCGCCCCTTTTGTTCGAGTATGTAGATGATGCCCAAGATGTTTCCCCATTGGCTTGGCGCTGTGGCGGCCGGTGGGCTACCGTGTGGGAGTGCTGACCGCCCAGGAGACGATGAGAAGAAGACTTGGATGACCACGCAGACAGCCAATCAGCCAGCTAGCCAACTACCCAACTAACTTGTGCAGGTATAGTACGAAATACTAAAGCACAATAGATATATTTTGCTATATATTTATAAAACTGTACATATCTTACATGGCATATGCTCAAATATGGTCAGCCACCCAAACCAGCAATCCATCCAACCAACCAACCAACCAGTCAGCCAGCCAGCCAGCCAGTCAACCAACCAGCCATCCAACCAGACAGCCAGCCAACCTGCCAGCCAACCAACCCAACCAACCAGACAGCCAGGCAACCACGTCGCCGAGCACAGCAAGCGAGGACAGGCCGTGACATCTCGCAGATCACCCCCGACTTTGCCGCGAATCCGCCAGTCAAGGTACCACGGGATTTCGTACAAAGAGTACGTTATTTGATAAATCTGGTCAGGAAAAATAGATTCTGCACTATAATAGCGTAACGAAGATCTTACTCACCCGCCCAACCTTAGCACTGCTTCATTCAAAACTGCTCGAACCTCACCGGTGGCGAATCATTCCATCGGAATGTAGTCGTCCAATTCATTGCTGACGAGCAGGACCTTCCCGCACCGTGAAATTTTCCAAGGTCACGACCTGGGGCTGCGAATATATGGACCTTCTGGTGGGGCGAAAACAATGCTGTTCGGGGTCGAGGCAAAGACGCAGAGAATTGCAAACATGCGCTCCGCATGCATAGTCAGACGTGTGGGGTGTCGCACACAGTGCGTGCAACGCAGTGCAACGCACCCGGAAAATGCGTGGGCTCGTTGCAGGGCTGCACTTGCACACTTTTCGCTGCTTTTTCATTCACTCGCCCTACCTCCCTTCTCTCTCTCTCTCTCTCTCTCTCTCTCTCTCTCTCTCTCTCTCTCTCTCTCTCTCTCTCTCTCTCTCTCTCTCTCTCTCTCTCTCTCTCACACACACACACACACCTACACACACCACACGAACACGCACGTGGCTTGGTAGAGCAGTGCTCGGTCGTGCGAAAAACAAACCGCATCAGACAAACGACGTTATCGTTTCCAGTCCACTTTTCTTTACCCCCTTTTTTTCGTGTGTAATCGAGGTAGAGTTGTGTATGGGAAGGCGGCCCAGCGCGCCGCGCCGCGCCAGCGCACTTCGGATAGGTTTGCCTAGCGCGCCTGGCGCGGTGCATCGGGCGGCCTTGAGGTACTTCTCGGTCTGGGCCACTGGGCCGATTCCGAGCACAGCTCTGTCTCTCTCGCTCCCCTGCGCGCTGCCCGGCGCTGCCGCGTGAGTGAGAGAGACAGAGTGACGCTGGTCGGAATCGCAGCGTGCGAAACAATGAAACCGTCGGCCCCGCTCTGCTCTGCCCGGACCGGCCCGGACCCACCGAGGGGCGCTGGTCCGCGAGAAAGTGCACACAAATATAATTGTCTGGCGGCTGGCTCGCCCAGTCCACTTTGTCTGTCCTCCCGCTCCCGCATCGAGGCCCGAAAAGCTCCCGGACGATTTTGCTGAGGCACTCAAAGTGTTTTGAGCATATGCATAAGCTGGCAAAGAAAATATTTCGTAATTTGCGAACAAGTTCTTCGCATTACAAACTAAATAGTTTGCAGACAACGCTCAAAATACTTCGTAGGTCTTAAGCGTACGGACATCATTGAGGAAAAAGTCATTTGGTCAAGAAAAGAATCATTCATTAATTAATAAATTCATTCATTTATTCATCTGGGTGTTTGTTGCTAGTGTGTGTTTGTTTGTCTTCATTCATTCATTCATTCATTCATTCATTCATTCATTCATTCATTCATTCATGCATTCATTCATTCATCCATTCATCCATTCATTCATTCATTCATTCATTCATTCATTCATTCATTCATCATTCATTCATTCATTCATTCATTCATTCATTCGCTCTTTCGTTCCTTCGTTCGTTCGTTCGTTCGTTCGTTCATTCATTCATTGCTATAGGGATGGAGATTGCAGCCCTCTGGACACAACCAACTGGAAGTTCGCCATTGCATGTAGCGCGATAGGCACATTTTTTTTTATCAACGAACGGTTCGTGATTTTCGGTGATGGTACACAGCACGCCACTGTGTTCACGTCACTCTGCGTCTGCGTGAGGGACGATGTAACTAAGAAGCAGGCTGGCTGAATCCGTATTTTGAGCATACATAAGCTTACAGAGAAAATACTTCGTAATTTACGAACTATTTCTTCCGAGGGGTTACCCACTCCGGGTCTGGGAATCGTTCGTAATTTGCTCAAAATTTTATCGAAAATCCTAAAAGTTTCAATGGAGAGGGATATGTAAAAGACACAAAACACTCAAAAGCTAAGAAAAATCTTCAAAAACCTCTCCTTTTATGCAAGATTTGTTCAGGAATCGCGGGAATCCGGAATCGTGTGTACGCCCAAGTACCGAGTGGGTAACCCCTCGATTTCTTCGCATAACAAAGTAAATTAGTTTATACTACACACTCAATATTGCACAGTGAAGATTCTCCATATTATGATGAAAATGTTCCATACTATATGGTGATGCAGCTGACTTTATAACATAAGAAATGCCGTCCATCCAGTCCGGGCGAGGCGTGCCGCGGTCCGGCCACTTTGTGTGTGTTTCACTCTCTTCCAGGCGCATTAGGGATGCGCGCGGTTACGCCCCCCCCCCCCGGCCCACTCCACCCCGCCGCGGGAATTCGCCGCGCTGCACAATTCACTCATTCGCTCATTAATTAATAATCAGACCGCGGGCCGCGGAGGCCCGTTTCGAAAGGAGCAGGCTGATTCCGAACAGTGTGCTCTGTCTCTCTCTCA